GTACTCTACATCATTTTCATCCTCTCCCACCATTGCTTCATCAGCATCTTCAAATGTTTCAGCACCTTCACCGGTTGCTCTATCTGTCCCACACAACATAACAATATCATCCCACCTTTCTATAGGTCTATTTGCATATACATTTGCCTTTCCATTCTCCCGAACATAATCTTTCCATGCTGACATATTATTTGCTGTTATAACAATCATCTTCTTTTCTTCATCCCATGGAAACCCACTTTGATGGCTTCTGATTTCACTAATAATAGAGAAATGTTTTCGCCATTGTCTTACTTTATTCTTGACTTGCTCCTTGGTTACATTAACGCTCAATGATTTCGCAAGATAATCCACAGCTGCTTGGTAAGCTTGAGGCTTCCAATCTTTATCAGTTTTGAGGCCTTGAGATAAAGAGTCATACAGTGAAATAGCTAAAATATTATCCATTTCCTTTGTCCATTGCATGTATGTCCTAAAAACACCTTCTCCTTGACTTTTTGATTTTCTTTTTGCTCCTGTTAATAACAGAACACATATATAGTTAATTATCTAAATGGAAAGCTGCAGTGGCCACCACACACGTAGTAACATAACCTTTTGTGATGGGCGGCAGTGATTTGTAGTATCTGAAATTTATGAGTACCCAACAAATTGTGGCAAAAATATCACCAGATCATACAAGCCAGAGCCATACCAACAACATGTAATCTCAACAACCTCAATACGCAACAAGGATTACACTCTAACCAAAACTAATTGGGTTCCATCTTTAATTTCACATCATTATCTGCACTCTATTTTAATTTATGCTTACTCTGTTTGAATTCAAGGAAAATGTAGTTAAAAACAAAACCCTCCAGCAGCCTAATCTTAGAGAGTAAAAAAAAACCAACAGAGGCAAAGTTACATTCAGAATCAGTATCACCATATTTTTCTTCTTTTCTTCAAATTTTCTTAGCAACCAAACACGAACTACTATGAAAGGAAATGCCAAAAAAAACACAAACATAAATGAAGAAACACAATGCATCCCCAAAAGCAAAAATTCTTCTTTAAATGAAGACAAAGAAGGGCAATCAGGAAACGACAGAAATGATACAACCAGATCATTTTGCTATTAAAGAAACAAAACATTGCATACCTGAACTACTTGAAGGAGATTTTCCAGCTCTTTGCATTCTCGATCAATCAGTAAAATTAACTTTATGCACCTATTTTGCTGTAATAAATTAACTATGAAAATTAGTACCTAAAACAAGAAAATGTTAACGTAAAACCATCAAGAACATTATCCATCATTAACTAAAATAAATTTTAACCAGTGAAAACAAACTAATATTTCATATTCAAAACGTAATTAAGTCCCATATCACATAGTGAATGATTACATCTTAAGTTCAAAAATTTTAAAAGACTAAATGAAAAAATCTTAATTCCTTAGAGCTCGTCGAGCTTGGTATTCTTCAAACATTTCCATAGCTAAATTATCTCTAAATTGTGACCATTCATCAGTGACTCCCACAAAGGTTATATTATCTCTCTCAACCTCATTTTCAAGTGCAGCCTCTTCAAGCTCTTCATCCACTTCTCTTAGTAAATCTTCTTCCACCATTTCATCTCGTATAAAGTTGTGCAGGATAAAACATGCATTGATGATTCTAATTTGAGTCTTCACATCATAAAAGCAAGCATGGCGTACAATTGCCCATCTCTTCTTTAGTAACCCAAAACTGCGTTCAATTGTATTCCTTGCAGCAGAGTGCCGAAGGTTAAACAACTCCTTGTAATTAGTTGGAGTGTTTCCTCTCCACAAATTTAGATGATATCTAGTTCCTCTATAAGGAGCCAAAAATCCTTGACCATTTGTGTAGCCCAAATCCACAAGATAATACATATCTATATAAAAAAAAATAAAAGAGAACCAAAATTATCAAAAGTCAAATTTATACAAGGAGTTAAAAATAGTAAAATTAACTTGAATTAATAACACTTACTTTGTGGAACTTTTAAGTTATTGCGCCTGGTCAAAGCATCACGTAAAACACGAGAATCCGATGCTGATCCTTCCCAACCAGGCAGCACATAAGTAAATTTTAAATTAGCATCACAAGCTCCCAAAACATTTGTACTCAAGTTACCTTTTCTATCTCGATATTTTCCTCGCTCACTAGCAGGTACAGTTATATCAATAAGGGTTCCATCAAGTGCCCCAAGAGCTCCCTTGAACCATTGCCATTTATCATCTACTTCATGGAGGGATACATTATTTTGTTTAATGTAAAACTTTCCAATTTTCATCATTGCTCGTAGAACAATATGGAATTGTCTACTAATTGTTTCCGATGAACGAGCAAAAATACTTCTAATTGTACTATTTTTAAGGTCATGAGCAAGAATATGCAAGAAA